CCTTTGATTGCAATGACATCAGCAAATTCTTGAGTATCTTATCTTATAGCTTGAATTCAGTCTATCTTTTTCCTATAAAGCATCTGCGCACAGTAGAGGTCAAACAAGATGAACTTAATGAATGAATGAGTACTATACCAGCATACCCACGTCTTATCTATAAAGTCCCCACATAGCGTGTTATGTTAAGGTGTTTAGTTTAAGCGTCTTTGCCAATACTTAAGTAATAATTAAAAAAAACAAAACATCCACACACTTATACAATTCCACATCAGTGTATTTGGATCCAACCGATTTAAAAGGAAAAAAACTCATCTTCATCATTTTTTCCTTTCCATTTTTTAGTTTTTTTGTAATTAAAGTTTCTGTCTCGCAACTTGTGTGTTTCTTTACTTTTCATAAACTTTAATCCCCCTAATGAACATATTTTATTCCATTATTACATACTGTATAATAGTATTGGGGGATTAGTAATTTTTTAAATACTGTAATTGTTGCCTTAATACCCATGTTATGGTCCTTGATTAACTTTGTTGTTCTGCTGCTCATGTAGCACATAATGGGAACCTAAGTAAAAGCTCTGGAACCAACTAATATAACATGGGTGAGACTGAGAGGAAAAGGGTTTTTTTTTTCTCCATAGCATTTCTTCTGTGCCTGTCAGTGTAAAAAAATAAATGAATAAAAATTGAGGGAACTTTCATGGGAAATGATTTAACGCCCTGATTTAACCACAATAATAATTAAAAAATTGATAATACTTAGTAGGTATTCTAAGTATATATTCAGTGCAAGGACAGAAGCTGGAAACTTTTTAATCATCTCCACCAGAGGGCAGCATTTCAGCTATTTTCATTTCTTTGTACCTTTTTCAATCTTTGCTTTTGTTTCTCTGTGAAATTTATAACGTGATGGCCGTTTGAATGAAAATCGTGGTAATTTTAGAAGATTACTTTCAGTTCAATCTGGGCTATGCAGTAGCTACAAATATACTTTAATATGAAAACATATTGTTAAATGTGTTTTATAAACCATCACGTTAAATCACAAATAAGCAAATAGGTTTTAAGTACTGCTTTCACTGAATACTGTGTCCACTTACATGTCTAAATCATTAACCTATAAGTGTCTTGTATTGCTTTTTTCTTTAGACTCTCACGATTTAAATTAAAACAAAAAAGGTAAACTGAAAAGTAACCAGTTAGTTAAGGTACAAATAAAGTACTAAACAAGTGGTTTTATGTTGTATGCAGTATCCAAATGACATAGTGCATCTCTCTGCCAATAACCCATCAATTTAAATTTTAAACCAACTAAAAACCCCAAAAATTGGAAAGTACAAGGATTTTAACATAGAAAAATTAAACCAAATGCAGCAGTCGTGTTACTGTTTTAGGTTTCCTTTAGAATTTGAACTCTGTGAAGTGGAGAGTTCGAGCTCAGGGCAGTACAGTGGCTCCGCACACCAGATGGAGACCGCGATGGCACAGGGGAAAGGTCCAACTTCTCACTGAAGATAGTATCGCACCTTATGTAAGCTTTTAGACACGGAAGATAAAACCAGTGCAGTTTGTACTAATGATAGATGTTACAGACACTGGTTGTTTTCATCCTTATCGGTGTGTCACGTCACTACAACTGTAAATACAAAGCTGGCAGAACGTGAAGTAAGCAGCTCTGTAGCTGTAGCATCTACAGCTGGAACACAGTTATGTGTTCTCGGTGACTGAGGCTTGCTGTGTTTGTGTGTTTGTCCCATTTTCTTAAATGCAGTATATTTGAAATACTTCCAAATTTTTCACACACACACTTGGGAAATTCATTGGGAAACCTGAGAGGGATTATCACTACATCTTGCACAAATTTTCACTCAGGCTGTAGGAAAAAGTAAATTATAATTTAAATATTAGAAGATGCTGTGATTTTTGTGTTTGTTTGTTTTAGGGTTTATGGCCATGACTCAAGAGTTAATTTGATTTTACCACATTTAACAAGAACATCTAAAGTGAGGAGATTTTTTTTATCCAAATGTGCAAAGGTTAACGTCACTTTAATGACATGATGTTCTACAAAAATCACTTTTCAACTCTATGCCGTGACTCGGGAACAGACGATGTGCTTCGAAACTGCACCAAGACTGATTAGCAGAAGAATTTATGAGTTTTCACAAGCCACCAGCAACCACTTAAATATGTTTGGGGTTTTTTTTAATTTATACTTTATAATATAATATTGTAGTTCATCAAATTTTTGTCTGGATGGCAGAGCGTCTTTATCTTTCCCACAGTTAGACTGTGAAACTTGTGACATCTATAATCCTGCTAAAAAAATCACTGTTGTTCTTAATATTTTCCTCCAACAACACACACAAATTACAGAAAATCAAGATAAGATGTCTGTAGACATTTTTTTTTAAAAATATTATTGGCTTTTTTCCCATTCTCACAATCTTATTTTGGACATGTTTGCTTGCTGACATTAGGTCAGAGTACAAAATCCAAGTATAAGAAAGTATTAGGAGTTTTTTCAACCTACATAACAAACACTTAACACTTAATTTCACTATACTAAATACATAGCTGCTGGATTCACCTGAGATAATGAATGAGTGGAATAAGACTATATTGCAATCCAGTAATTATTTGTAGAGATCAGCCCGGCTTTAGCACGATGTTACTGCAGTCATATGCAAAAGGTTTTTGGTTGAAGCGCAAATGTTGTGTTTAATGTGCTTTGTGAAGAATGTCCATACACATTGCATACTTTCTTTTCAAGGATTGAACACACTCAAAAGCCCTCGAAGATCTTCAAAGACCATCTTCTTTCATTCTGATCTAGAATCTGTGATCAGTATTTGAAAAACAAGCTGACAAGCAAAAGCCTACAAACATTTTGCTGGACTTTACTGCCTGGCATAAATGTAAAATGAATCCACATCAATTAATCTGACTTCAGTTATATTTATAAAGTGCCAGTTCACAACAACAGTTACACCTGGTAATATACGAGAGAGAAACCCAACGATTCCCTGTGAGCAAGTGCTTGGTGGTATTTTCGATATCAAACCTTTACACATCTCTCCCGGTGGAATCCCTTAATCTCACGTATGCACTCTTTATCTACAGCATTAGAAATGTTTCCCCGGAGTGAGAATGACTGACTCAATCCCAAACGGCTTCAAACTCTTCAACAACCTCGTGTCACTGCCGTCCCAGTGAATCATATCACCTCACCCACGTCTTGTACATACTTGCTCCAGCTTGCGTCATCAGATAAACAAAGAAATAAATAATAAAAAACATCCAGTCAGTCAATCTTTTCTCTGTACATTTGATTTATTTATTTTTATTATTTCTTCTGGCGCTTCTGGATGTGTTGTTGAAATCATTCAGCTATGCTTTTTTTTTCTTTTTTCCCACATATCGTTTAGTGTTCATCATTAGTGACCTTCTCCTGAAGGATAAAATTATAACACAGGGACTGAAAGACATCTCGAAACAGTTTTTGGACTCAGCTAGTCTGAAGATTTCATATTCGAAGTCTTCGTGCATTTTGACCAGACTATTCATGTGTATCAATGATTGCAAAAACATAAAGCTTAAGCATAACGTCTTATCTGAAAAGCTGCACGTTAATACCTGCCAAGCTGCTGGGCTCTCATCTTTCCCCTGCTGTGCGATGGTAAAGATGGCGGGGTTTCCTCTGCATGGAGGGTGATTTTCTGCTTCAGCTCATTACACCTGAGAGAAAACTGACAGCAGGCACAAAGGAGAGAGCTCATTTGAGTGGGCATCGTCCAGTCACCATCATTAGTCTATAGATGCATATCATGTAACTCTGTCTGTGTGTGCATTTTTATACTATGACCTGACTTGTGGAAGGGGGCAAATAAATACTCTTAAATATGTCTTTTTCCATTTATGAATTTGTTATTATAATTTGTCATCTCGCTTGGCATTACTTGCTGTGGAATAACAGAGCAGCAAGAGACACAAACCCATCACCAGTGTGTTGCAGGAAAGTTAGAATTATTGAATTTATCATGGCAATGCATTCTGTATATGAAGTGGTATGGCTGGGTTCATGCAGATAATACACTATATGGATGAGGTAGGGTGTTAAATATGTATGTGGTTGTACTGTACATTAAAATGGATAATTAAATGGATAATTGTATTTCATGACATATTATAAAGCAGTACTTTTGGACAGGTGTAGTTATATAATCATAGATCTAACAATATATGTATGTGTGTATATATATATATATAT